TTGTGCGAGGGAGATCCTACCAAGTGGGCAGCTAATCTTCCATGGGTTGAACATGCCATCAACTCCCTTCCTTCAGCTGCTTCAGGTCTGTCCCCCTTTAACACAGTATAAGGTTTCCAACCACCAGTATTCTCTATTCAGGGTAGAGATGCTCAGGGTCCCGTCTGTCCACAGAGCAGCTCTTAGGTGCCAGCAGACCTGGAAGAGAGCAAGGAGAGCTCTCCTCAAGACATCACCTGTTTACATCAGGGGTGCCAACCGCCGTCGCTCCCAGAACCCACCCTACCAGGACGGCCAGAAGGTCTGGCTCTCAACTAAAGACCTTCCTCTTAGGGTGGAGTCACGAAAATTGGCACCCCGCTTTGTTGGTCCATTCCCAATAGCCAAAGTAATCAACCCTGTGGCAGTACGCCTTCAACTACCTCGGTCACTCAAAGTTCACCCAACCTTCCACGTTTCCAAGATCAAACCCCTGGTGTCATCACGATTATTTACTCTGCTCATGGTAATGATCTCTACCTTCTCTACAACGACCACGTCTACCGGATCACGATTCAAGTTTGGTTTCGGATTTCTGATCACCTGTGCATGACCCTCGCCTGTCTCCCTGGACCTGTCTTCTGGATCTCCCTCCTAACCGCTTCATGCTCAGTCCTGCCTCAAAACCAGCTCACCTTCTCCAACTGTGACATCATAGAAACCAACTCTTCTAAGGAAATCCTTCCTAATCTGTTTATAAAGGTTGGTGTTTATAAATTGAACTGTCAAACCAAAGCCATTGAACTCCAATCCACTAACCTTCCTGTCTCTTCAGATTGTGTTGGCCCAAGGACTCAGACCTCCACCAGAAGCAGTTTATCAATAAATCTTTTAAACCTTCCTGTTGTCTGTGATCTGGTTCGAACCCCTAAATTTGGTTCTTGTCAAAATATCAACAAAAATGACTGAATTACAGCTGTTGTAACGATTTCTTTAGTCTATTGGCTAGGGCGGCCATCTCTAATTGGGTGGACTCCTAAAGTTCATTCAACCTTTATTTATACAGGTTAATCCCATTGAGCCTCGGGGACTCATTTACAAGAGAGACCATTGGTTACGTACTGTAACCCCAGACTCTATGAGTATAGGCCTAGCCCTTTATGGCTGTCGCTAGTGGGTTTTATCCCGTCGCGCGCAGCACTGAAAACTTTAGTCCACACCCACCTGCTGTGTGGACTCACCCCTGGTCCATATAAGTTACGGTGAAACCGGGTAATCGGCTTCCAAATAGCTTTTTTCTTTAGCCATTTAGGAACCAGTGAGGCCCAGAGCTTAAAGGGCTATGCCTATACTCATAGAATCTGGGGTTACAGTATGTAACCAACATTCTATTTCATATAGGCTTCGCCCTTTAAGGCTGTCGCTAGTGGGTTAAAGGCGAAGCAGTCTATGCCTCACTGGGTCCATTCAGACACAATATGAAGCGCCCACTTGCACCAAAAAAAATGTCATCACTCAGCCGTCTGTGTGCGTAATTACATGCTGCGTAATTACGCGCACCATGCACAGAAGCGCCCCGGAGAGAAAAAGTTTTGGACGGGGGAAAAAAGGGGAAGGCTGAAAGCAGTCCTGCTGCCGAGAGTGGGAAAGAACAGAGGTGTGACACCGATCTGTGTCTCCGTACACCTTTTAGAAAACGCTTCATCAACGGAGGATTAAAAATTGTTCTGTCACCAAAGCCTTCATGACAGGAGGAAATAGCTGCAGCATAAGTTTTAATTGTGCTGAACGCTAGATTTCTGTCCATCAACTGCTACAGAAAGGACAACACGCCACCTAGTGGACATGAGATGGCCTCTACACTTTTCTCCGTGCACCAGCGCTGAAAAGCTGTCCACTTTGATGTGTACAGCGCTGTGGTGGAAGCGGCTCGTGAGTCTTGGATTGTGCGCACCACTTCCTGAGAGACGCCCATCTTCTCTAAGCGGATTTGCCCAGCAGCCAGACCCAAAGGTGCTGGCCTATTTTGGGTGACTCCTGATCGCTCCTCCCGCCTGGAGGAGAGCAGCATCCCTCCACGGCAGTTTTCACGGTCGACCTGATAACAGACATTGCAGGTTTGGGAACCACGGGGTGCTCACGCGCTCGAGGGCTACAAGAATGGCTGACAGCTCTTCCTCCCAGACTTGTTCAGAAACCGTGATATTAGAGAGACTGGAAGAAACACTTTTTTTTTTTAACACTTTTTTTTGGCCACGGGCTGTGGGCAAAAGCGTGCACTCCTAACGGTGGGTCGTCCCGTGGGCTCAGTGAGAACCATAATTGACACTGGGTGTTGTCCCGTGTGGCGAACAGATCCACTGCTGCTCGGCCAAACCTGCTCCAAATCTGAGAAATCAGCTCGGGATGGAGACTCCAGTCCCCGTGGCGCGGACCGCCCCTGGACATTACATCCGCCCCTCTGTTCAGGATGCCGGGGATGTACACTGCTCTGATGGAGAGCAGGTTTTTGTGTGCCCAACACAACAGCTGTCTTGCAATGCGTAACAGTTGGGCTGAGCGACGCCCCCCTGCCAGTTTATGTAAGCTGCAGTCACTTTGTTGTCTGTGTGGATCAGAACATATTGATTCTGCAACAGGGGAGCAAAATGCTGAATCAAATTCCAAACTGTGAGACATTCCAAAATGTTTATGAGCTGATGTGTGAGGTGGCCACAGCGCGCCCCACCGCTTGAGACAGGCACGTTCCTCCCCAGCCTGACAGGGACACGTCTGTGAAAACTGAGAAGTGTAACGTAGGTCTGTTGATAGGAACTCCCTCTGACAGAGTGAGAGGGTTTCCCGAGTGATTCAGGTTGGTTCCCACGGGGGGGGGGGGGGGGGGCACAGAGATCATCCGCCTCTTCTGACGTACCGGATCTATGAGCAGGTGAGCGAACCATCTCTGAAGGCGTCTCATGTGGAGTAAGCCCAGTGGAACCACAGCGTGAGCTGACGACATTGTTCCCAAAAGTTTCATGATAGAGACGGCTGTTACTACTCTGCTGGATTTTACGCGGCGGAGCTGGGCCTTTAGAGCTTTGGCTCTCGGCTGTGATAAGCGGGCTCTCATAGTGACTGAGTTTAGCTCCACTCCCAGCCGGGAGAACTGAACTCTTCTCCCAGTTTATGGCGAAATCCAGGTTTAACAGGTGTGATGTCAGCGCTTTGGTTTGCGCAGCTGCTTCCTGCCTGGATCGAGTTAGCAGCAGCAGATCATCCAGATAAAACAAAATTCTCATCCCTGCTCTGTGTAGCCGCTGCAGAGCCGTCTCCACGCATTTCGAAAACGTGCGTGGGAACAGCAAAGTAATTTCTTGTATCTTCTCCCCCGTGAGCTCTGCGACTGGTTGTTCCAGGTTGCCGCAATGAGAAGGACTGTTCTCTGGCGGGAGGGGCCGGCGGCGGAGCGGGACGGGACGCTGCTGCAGCTGTGGAACGTCTCTGCTGTTGCCTCTGGCCACGACGATCTCTCTAACGTGCGGGGGGCGGGAGGAGGGGTGCGGCTTCATCAGGTGGCGCACAATCTCCAACACCTCCTCCGACTTCTTCGACTTTTCAAGCATGGCCTTGAAATTGGCCCCGAACAGCGCGTCCGTCATGATGGGGCCCTCCAGCAGGTCTTTCTGCAGTTTCTCCGGCAAGGAGGGGGCGTGTCGGAGCCAGATGGACCTCTGGATCATTGTCATCCAGGCGGCGATGCAAGACAGACAGACCGCAGAGGAGGCGCACAGGTTGAGGATGATGTCAGACGCTTTGCAGAGTGAGCTCCTCATCTCCTCAGGCAGGTCTGTGTCCTCGAGCCTTTTGGAGATGCTGTAGGCCAGTACGACATTGTTGTTCGTTGCAGCCGCCTGGAAAGCACATTGGTGGGCTCAATTGGAGAGCGACGTCACCGTCTGGCCGTGTCTCCCTACGGAGGACGGTGGTCCAATCTGGACACTTTTGCTCTGAGTGCTTCCACCAGGCTTGGCTCCGGGGGGGTACCGAGGGAAAGTTCAGCTCAGTAAACCCCTCCACTCTGGTGATGGGAGCAAAGGTGGAGATGGGCGCATTCAGCTTACCAGGTCCGGCTGCAGCTTCGTTCCAGTAGGACGTCACTGCTGGGAAACGAGGCCAGATGGGGTCAGGGCGCCGAGCCGGGGTGGAGCCAAACCTTCCTGCTAGATCATCCGATCTGGGCGGGAGGAGGAGCGGGACGGAAAGTCCCTTCGTGTCAGCCGCCTCCTGGATTATGCGGGCAGCTCTGAGAGAAGGGCACCTTTTCTGGAGGAGTCATCTGATTCGCTCTGTGACTCGGCGTCAAAAAAGGCGACGGCGTCGTCCAGCGAACAGTCCCCCGTCACTGAGAGGCACTCCTCGATGTTAGCCTTGAACAAGGCTGCTCGCCTCTGCCTCTCCTCAGGAGGGAGGAGGTCACAGAGACGGAAGGAGGAGGCGAGGTCGGCGTGGCGAGGACCCAGGCATCCTTCACAGATGTCGTGCCGGTCGAAACTCAGCATGTAGCCAGTCTTGCAGGACGAGCACAGGCGGATGGTGTTGGTGCTGGACATCGTGTTTTTGTAAAAAACAGTGCTGGTTGCTTGCTGAAGAAAAATGGGAGCCAATTACCTGGTCTCACCGTAATTTATACAGACCGGAGGTGAGGTCCACACAGGAGGTGGGCGTGGACTAAAGTTTTCAGTGCTGCACTGCGCGCGATGGGATAAACCCCACTACGACAGCCTTAAAGGGCGAAGCCTATACGAAATAGAACTGAATTTTTAACAAAGAGTGATGACAACTGCGGACAACAACGACAACAACAGACAATCATAAAAGATGCGTACAAATTTAAATTTTAATTAAAGTTGCTGTATAAAAATGCATACATCAAACTGTAGCAGCAGAGTGCAGAAATAAAACTGTGCTTTGTGTTCAGATGTGGACAAGACTGAGCGTGTTACTGTGTGCAGTCTGTAAATAGGAAACACAAGTCTTACCAGTGCAGGCCACTGTATGTGTTTGACCTTAGTTCCCTGCAGGAGGCCTCCTGCTCCTCCTCCTGCTCCTCCTCCTGCTGCTGCTGCTGTTGCTGCTCCCCCCTCTTTCCTCTTGGCCCAGACCAGCTGGTGCTCCAGGAGAAACAGCTGGAAATCCTCGTAGACCTTCACCCACTCTCGCTTGTCCCACTCCTGGTCATCAAACTCTACATACACCTGGAAACAGACCAGACCCTTATGAACATGTAGAATGATCTGGTTCTACATTCACAGTTGTCAGTAACACTGGGGAATCCCAGAACTAAACAAGACTTACACAGAAAACAAAGAAAAAAGGACAAGAAGGAGAAAGCCAGAGGAAACAAAACATGACTGACGAAATGGTTAGATATCAAAATAGACTTACTGAGAAACCGAAAAGGAACGTTTTTAACTTCTGTTAACTGAGGTAAAATACTGAAATTAAACAAAGATTTAAAAAAACAAAAAAACGCAGAGCATTAAATTGATTTATTTTACTATTCTTTATGACGTGTAAGGGTTAATTGTACAGCACTTTGGTCAACTTTGGTTGTTTAAAAGTACTTAAAAAAAGATTTAATGGAGCATAAAATGAAAAGTAGTAACCATGAAAAATAAAAGGAAATGATAGAATAATGTTTGAATAGCACATTTTTAATAACATTTAGACTATTGGTGACTAAAAGTGAGTCACTTTAATAATTGTAAAATTAAAAGCCACCTTACCATACTTAGTTTAGTTTATTTAAACAATGGTGTCCAGAAACAATGCCTAAGAACATCAGAAACTATTTATCTATTTTCCTTGACAGTTCTTACAAACCCAGTCTAAAAAACAAAACAAGATTATAAGAAACATTTTTAAAAATCTAAGGAAATTACTGAAACTTTTAAAGTGCTCAAAATGAACGCCACAAATCCTACAAATTTATAAAAGTATACAAACAAAAATAATCAAACAGAAAAAAAATGCTTCTTTAAACAAAAGTTTATTAAGAACCTGGACAAGAGTTTGTTATGAACTTCTTCTCGAGACATATTTCTATATTTACATCCCAACAGTTTAGACTAAAATCAGACTTTGTGGTAGGTCAACAAATCTATGATAGGCATCAATCCAATACAAGGAAAATATAACTAATAAAAATAAACTGAAGAGGTGAAGGGAAGCCTCATATTGACCTTAAATGTAACCATCCAAGCTGTGAAATAAACAGGAGCAGACAAAACTGGGTTGCTGGTCTGTCTCATGGTGCCAAACAAAAAATGACCTCATTCTCTCTACAACTCTCTCAGTACACTCCAACAAACACAACCCAGTGAGAAGCTACCTTATGTCACACCTTTGGAGTCACAATAGAACATGATCATATAATGTCAAAACCAAACACCAAAATTCATTTCAATTCAATTTGAAAAAACTTTATTAATCCCAAAGGGAAATTAATTGTTGTTGTAGCTCATCCTGGTTTCATTAGAGTTGTTCTAGATGCTGATGGCTGTGGGCAGGAAGGATCTATTTAGCAGTCCATCCCATAGCAGATCCGAAGAAACTGGCTGCAGATGCCGATCCATCCACCCAGACCCAGCAGTGCTCTTGGTCCTCTAGGGCAGCAGGTCTGCATGAATTCCTGGCAGAACTACTCCCCCAGGGATTTCTCCCAGTAGCCTGCCAAGCCCCTCATTGCCGCAGACTTAACTGCAGGTGCCAGGGGACGATCTCGGTTCTACAGCTGTTACTAGCCACGTTTCCAGCTACCTCCAAGATTTCGGCGGTCAGGCACTCAAGCACCGCCTCCAGGTAGATGGGAATGCATCCAAGGCACCTCCTTTTCAACTCATTTGGGATTTGGGGATGTAGTTGAGGTATTATTTGAGAGTTTGAGATGTTAATCAGCAGCTCCCAGTTGTAGAAAACCACCTTGTTGTTATGGTTACGCATCATAACAAATGTCCAAAAATAAAAATGATTTCAGTAAAGATCCTTCCAGCTGCACAGCATCTGTTACCAGAGGAAGTTATCATCTGGAAAAAAAGCGATTTACATCCAGAAAAAAGAGGAATTTAAAGCAAAATCTCAGAATGAATGTAAGAGAGCTACTCCAACATGCAGCCACTTTGAGCGGCACAATTCTGGAACATAAATCAGGGAAATGCTGAAGAAATGGTAAATGGACTGTATACGTATAGCTCATTTTGATCTTATCAAGATACACAAAGCTCTTTACAACACAATCTGTGCCCTCATTTACCTCCACACACATTCATACAGCACTCTATATCTACACAAAGAATAATCAGAGCTTTATCACTGATGGGGCACACATCAGAGGCAATAGGGGTTCAGTGTCTTGCCCAGGGACACTTTGGCATGTGACTGCTGGTGGAAATGAACCCACAACTGTTGCAATGGAGGATGACTGCTCTAACCACTCAGCCACAGCCGCCCCAGGCAAGCCACCATTTCCTAAAACTAACGACAACTAATGCTGTTGAGCATCATTTTACTTTTCGAGTGACAAAGAAAAGGATCCATGCTGAGCTCAAGAAACAAAATAAATTGATTCACCTGTTAAAGTCCACCCTGCTACAAATCCTCTAGTAACGCACTGTAAAATGAATACTGACGGTACTCAGCAAACCATATCAACACAGTACCCATTTTAACAGTCACTGGTACTTTAAATATATCAAAAAAGAAAAAGGTACAAATGTGCTTTCAAGCCACAGAGACCCACTTCACAGACCTAAAGGGCGGCTGTGGCTGAGTGGTTAGAGCAGTCGTCCTCCAATGCAAGAGTTGGGGGTTCAATTCCACCAGCAGTCACATGCTGAAGTGTCCCTGGGCAAGACACTGAACCCTCATTGCCTCTGATGTCAGTGTCTGAATGTGATAAAGCTCTGATTATTCTCTGTATAGATCTAGTAGAGTGCTGTGTGAATGGGTACATGAGGACACAGATTGTTGTAAAGAGCTTTGAGTATCTTGAAATAAGATAGAAAGTACAGTACATTTACCATTTAATAACTCTTGGAAGTAATCCACCTTCATGTTACTGACAGTTCTGTGGCCATTCTTCATCTTTAAATGACATTTATCAGGTCTTTTTAGATCCTCTTCCAGAGAATGTTCCTTCTTAGTTCAAAATCAATTTGAAGGCTTTTCTAGAACCTGAACTAATCCAAACTGCATTAGTGCTGCTAAAGTGGAAGCTACTCCGCTGTCTCCATTGTCTGAAATGACATGCTCTTCTTTGAACGCGTTCAGCACATGAGACTGATGGGCTCTGGGCTCCTACAACTCCTTCTTCTAAATGTTTGTAGCTCTCTTTAAAAAGCTGCTTTTTGAACAAATATTAAAGAAGACTCACAATACACGGGTTCATCTACAGTTTGTAGCATTTAGAGGAGGAACTATGCATTGCTGTTGTAGATCGTGAACATCAAGTGACATGTCTGTGCTGAACTTCAACCACAACGTTTTTCTGGTGGAGCAAAACCAAAAACAACTTTTGAAAACAGTTTTATAACAGGGCTAATGGTCTTCATAACCTAAAGAACGTCTTTAGAACGGTTTGATCCAAAAACACCCATTAACAAATAAGAGTTTTGTTTGGTAGGATGGGACATGAGCAGTTCAATGTACAGAAAACAACTAGTTCAATCAAACTTGTTGATTATTCTAATGTTACATTTGGCTTGTGTCTTCCATTTGTTCACGCAACATTCCTAAATCGTTGGTAGTGTATCGATTAATCAAAATGACACTAATTTCAGTAATTTTCATAGAACCTAAGATTTAAACAAAGTCCCAGTGTGAACAAGCATTCAGATGCACAGATGTTGACATTCACCTGCCTCGTCTCCTCTCTCTCCAGTCCTTCCTCTCTACAGATCCATCCCTCCCCCACTCCTGACCCACAGAGAGAGTGAGGGCGGGAGAAAAAGGTTCAACGAGTGCATCTTTATTCGATCAGCATCCCACCCTCTCCACTACCACAACACCCAGCTGCCGTCGTCTCTTTCACAGAACGGTTTACGACAGAACTGAGAAGACAAGAGCTCGTGGATGTTCAGAAGTCACCGCTCAAGTTGGCCATGTCCTGAGACGATGTGAGCTTTCAGAGAAGAAGCAGAGATTGTGGAAACAACGGGGACAACATGTGGAACCCAGCAGCACTGACACAGAGCACTAGGAATAACATCTGTCAAACATGTCCCATTCTGACCCTGCATCTGTCCGATCACTCTGACCATCTGTCATCAAGAAATCACATGTTCAACATGCAACTCCAGCTGACCCTCTAGTCCACACCCTGTAAGTAGACATGCACAAATTCAGCTTTGGGTTTTAATACTTGCACAGCTCTGACCTGCCAAAACTGATGAACCACAAACTCATTTTCTTTACCAAATATTCTGTGCAGTGTCGGGTGTGGGGGTGGGGGACTGGTACCCATTTCAAAAGATCACTGGGCGAGAGGCAGGATCCGCCCTAGACAAGTCCCAGTCAATCACAGGGACACATGAGACAAACAACTACTCACCTCCAGTATAGAGTTACATTTCACCTAATGTGCATGTTTCAGGTCTGTGGGAGGAAACCGGAGCACCAGGAGAAAGCCCCTGCCTGCAGGTTTAAAACATGTTAACTACACACAGAAGGCCCCTGGGAGGGTTTTGGACCAGTGATCTTCTGATGAAATACACTATTCTGTTGTACCAGTCCGTTTGATTCTGCTGCAGTTTAGTCTCTGAGGTTCAGAGTGTCCAAAATTAAAGAGAACTAAACAACTGCGTGATAGAAAGTTTGCCATTCACAATGTTAACAATAATGTTGCATAATCATAATAATAACAAAAACAACTAGGACAACAATAATGACGACAACAATGAAAATAGACATTATGTTGAGTTAAGGTGGTGGCCATTAAAAATTAAAAAGCAAGAACAGAATGGTTTCATGATACATTCAACCTTTATTGATACAGGTTAGTCTCACTGAGCCGCCAGGACTCATTTTTGGGGGAGTGGTGGCGCAGAGGTTAGAAGATGGGCCTGTGATCGGAAAGTCGCAGGTTCAACTCCCAGTACCGGTGGAACACCCACACCTGCCTCCACCCTCATTGGCCCCACTCTGGGCCCCTGAGCAAGGCCCTTAACCCCCCCATCTGTTCCTAAACAGGTCTCTCTTG